GTCATGAAGCTCGTATGCCGTCAAGGGAACACGGCGTGGGCGTCATGCGACTCTTGCCACCTACGAGCTCCAGCTGCACCCCTCCGCTCAGTGTATCCAATAATGCATTTTAACAACGGGCTGAGCCGAAATGCATAAATGACACCTCGCGGAGTTGAGCCATGTGAAGAGTCAAACGACAATCCTTGGAAACTGCTTGCGAGGCCCGGGTCCGTAACGTCGCCAGCCGGAGTGTAAGAGCGCTTAGCAGAGTGACCGAAGCCGGCCGTGATGCAGTTGAACTCGGCTGAGATGGAACTGACGCTACCGGAAGTCCACTCGGCGAAGGAGCAGCCGAAAGAGATTGGGACCTACTTAAAACACAAGGCTGTACCAACCAATGAATATTCTTTGAGAGCTCCCAACCAACCACCCTTTTGAACAAACTTGTCGGTTTGGCTTTAGCTCTCTTATTTTATAATTTACACAGCCATGAGTGCTGAGCGACGTAGCTATAGGTACGTACTGCTGAAAAGGACAACAAGCTGGTGTCCAAATTCTCGTAAACGGTTGAAAATCCTCTGAAAACGCTGTGCTTGGTTTGCTCCGGATCATATTTCGCAGTGAAAGTAGGTGGATACATAATATAATACACGTGATTACATGTAATGCATTTGTGCAAACGATTCTTATAAAAAAACAATAGTAGAATTCATAATATTAACAAGCAAAACCTCCGTATACAACGCAGCCACAACAGAAAGAAAAGACCCGCTACCAATCACAACATCATGTGAGCTGCACGCAGGCGGGTTTGAGCCCTACCCGATCGCGTAGGAGGGTCAAACCTCAACGACCAAGCCAGATTCCAGGACCCACAAACTTGCTTCTTCAAAGTCAAACAATTTGTTCGTCGTACAACACATAGGCTTTGTAAACGAATATAACACACCAGCAGTGTTGTATTCATTTACAGCACATATGCCTTATATGCGGGGTAAGACGGTAGGGTGCTTGAACTACTTCGATATTGTACTGGCAAGATGAAACCCAACACCATTTTTTTGTTTTGCCCATAAATACAAAAGTAATTATCGGATTAATGCCGGCAGACCCGCAAAGGAAACAGGGTAGCACAGAGATCACAGACAAACACACATTGTTTGACTTTCTTGTCTTTTATTAAAATGGTGGACGCTCAAACGTCTGCGGAAAATTGATGCTGATCATGCATGCACCGAGCATTTCTTGCGATATTTAACAAACAAAGAAGCCTAAAGTGACAAGCTTTACGCCAGAATGCAGCTTGAAATGCAACAGATCTGCAGAAGCTGGTTTTAGCTACAGGAGCAGCGTAGGGATTGCTGCATGCAGTGTTAAACGCATCGCCGACAGCCCCACTTCCTAGGATCAAATGTGCATAGAAATGAGTAAAAAGAGCATTGTTGATTGTAATACTAAAGTTTGTAAGGACCAAAACATCTGATGCCATATGTCAAGAACATAGCCTCGATTTTTTTGGGCGGAACGAAAGACACGCACTTTTCGATTAAGTGTAGCATGTGCATTTGAGCAGATATTCAAGGATGATTATGACTACTTAAGAGAAGTAATCGCTATCTTTCCAACAAAAAAAAGCTCATATAAATTGGATAATTGGGTGAGAAGTTGTGAATTGGTGTTGGGTTTCATCTTGCCAGTACAGTACTATTTTGTACTTTTGTAGAACTTCGTAGTACTAGCAGCGACATAAGCGACATGCAGTACTACTATTAAAACTTTAAAACAGTTTTCACTGTAGTGACTACTTGGAAGAAGTGTTTTACTGCATGCAAAATGTGTTAATACGAGATGATGCCAAGGCCACTCGTATCTTTAAGCATGAGTTTACACGGATTAAACGACACTTGTATTTTAGCTTCTCTCTTAGACACGTAGTATGCTTTTTTAGCATTCCTTGCCACCAGCAATAATCAAACACGAGGTGGACTCGTACATAGCCATGATGTTCGTCATGAGGTACCAGATGAACGCGAACATAACGTAGAACACTGTGAGGCCTCCAAGAATCTTGCTACTTCCGCCCGTACGAAGCAGCTCCTGCGTCTCTTTCTTCTGGGGAGGCAGGAACACAAGGAAGGACCATGAAAAAATCGTCATGCCATACATGATCAGCACCGCGTACGTGAGGTCCGTTCGGATCGAGTTATCGTCAGCTTGGATACGAGCTGTCGTTAAGTTAAGAGGCTGGTTAATTACGAGCGTCAAGGCCTGTGCGAATGGAGACGCCAAGTTGCCAACCATAGTGATAATAGCCCCCTTATTACCGACGCCGGACAGCTCGACGATTACAAAGAAACCAATCATCCAGCCGACACCGTATGGAAAGTGCACTGCCATGGGGATAGCCAGGCCAGAAACCACTGACTTCGGAAGAAGGTTCCCGATAAGGAAGAAAAAGGAGAAAAACATGCGCCAATGGGGACGAGAGAAGCCGGGAAGAGAGGATCGTCTGGCGCCAGTCCCGGTGGCGCCGCCCAGTTTGAAGGACGCCTGGGTACGCCCCAAGAATAAAAACATACCG